CAGAGTATATTTGTTTTCTACACAGACTTGAAAAAATACACATAGTTTCTAGCAGACAAAAATGATGCTTTACAGAAAAACTATCCTCTTGATTAGTATTGAAGGCTCATCACAACTTGGACTCAACCTGCAATTAGTAATATGTTGACTTACTGAATTTGAAGACAGCTAAACAGATAGGAGTCAGGCCTGGTAGTGCATGCCTGTAATTCCAGCTACTCAGGAGGCTCAGTAAGGAAGATCACAAGCTCAAGCCCAGCTTGAGCAACCTAGTGAGACCTTGCCTCAAAATTTTAAAAAATAATATGAAATAAAAAGGGCTGGGGACATACCCCAGTGATTCTTGGGCTGAGCCCCTAGTACTATACGAAGATAGGAAAAATAGTGCTGACTTACTGAATATAAAGGAGAATGTATCTACTTTGCATTACATGGGTGTTGTATATAATACATATTATATATTTCCATTATATATTATATATATATATATATTATATTGTTATTACTCACATAATTCTCAAAGTCAAGGCAGGGTAAAGTTCAGACAAGTTAACTGTTACCTAAAACTGCAAGTGTTCTCAATCATGTCAGTGCTACTGAGCAAGAGAATTTTTACGTATTTCTTAGCAATTGCCCAACTTTCTTAAGATGGGTGGAAACCTGGTGAAGAAAAGAAATAGCACTTCTGAGATTTATTTTTAAGAATGTGTGGAGTTTGTGGCTATTTCTGCAGGATGCTGAACCAGCCAATCACCTCAGCAATTCAGTATGACAACCAGTCAGTGCAGGGAAAAAATCAATTTTATCAGCTCATTGAACTGAACCGATGCCTGTAGACACAGGCTAATCACAGACCTCTGTGACTTCTCATCACTGCAATGCACTGCTTTTCTCTTCTCACTGTGGAGAAAGGTTCTCTGCTGGCCACAATTCCTACAAAAAGGGAGCCTGACTCTTTTGTGCACTTGAAGTTCCCGGCATGTGGTACCAAACCAGGAGACACTTGTTCGGCAGTGCCAAGTATCTCTCTGGCCAACTCCAGCCCATTTCCTGCCCCCGGGATGAGCTCCTAGCCTAACCTGCTCATTCCTCCCGGACTCACCATGGGTCCTGCCTTGACCGCACAATCCCACTATCTCATGAATAGACAGAACAATACCTCTCCAAAATTTCTCCCAGGAGCTTAATTAGTAGGTCCTCACTATAGACCCCCAGCATCAGCCATGAGATTCCAGAATTCCTGGAATAGTTATCCAACATGGCCAGACTTCTCCACAGAACTTTCTTACATGTCACAGTAGAAATGTACATCCTTAAAATGAAGGGACCATGTCTGTATAACCTGTGTGATGACTGGCAGACCACAGGGTTTATTAACTACAGAATGGCTGGACTAATTAATTCATTAGGGGCAGTTGTGTTAGTTAAACTTGTCTGGAGAAGTAGAATGACCACACTGCTTATCTGCGCACTGAGAGCTAGAGGATCTGGCAGCTGCTCAGGCCAAGAAGTGGAAGCTGCTGATAAAGAAGGATCAAGGCTACAGCACCAGTCAGAGACCAAAGGCCTGGAGGCTCCCTGGACACCCAATGGCATGAGTTGCACCCAAACTGGAATCTGATGTCCACAGGCCACCGCAGCAAAAGATGCACCGGTCAAGCAGGATGGAGCTCTTCAAAACACACGTCAACTTCCTGCTTCTTTCCCTTTTACTCCTTCCAGGCCACAGGCCACTAGTTGGTGCCATGCACACACTCAGGATAGGTCTCACCCCTCAGTTGGCAGCCCACAGGCCAATCATCTCTGAAAAACTGCCCACAGACAGGCCTAGGTCTGTGCTTTACTGATCTGTGAGGCCTTTCCTAATCCAGCCAATCACAATGTAAAGTATGGATTCCTGGACTCGACTCCCAAAAATTCTCATTTAGTAGGTCCTAGATTGAGTGCAATTATCTGAATTCTAACAAACAGCTTGGCTGACTGGCTTTGATTTAAAATATCAATTGTCTTCCACCAATCTAACTGCTCTCTTACTTTAAAGCAAATAAATACATTTTTCATACAAGAAAAGTTCTGTAAGTTGACTCATTTCTGCTAGGAGAATAGTCAAGCATTTGAAACGGAAACCAGTTGTAGGTTTCAGAGGAAATTAGTTGGGAAGTTACTCCAGAGGAATGGATGAAATATTTCCACACAGAATACCCAAAAATCTTAAAACACATCACTTTTTGCGTTACCTCAGCTTCAGCATATTTCCTGGCATCCAGATGCAAAAGAAAACATAGACAGGTTCCTTGCATTCCCCAAGGCAAGGGCTGCTCCTTGTCCAGTGCTCCGACGCCAATGTGGACAGGGCCATATTCAGTGCTTTGTCTGGCACAGTGGGCTTTGTGGTCTCTGCTGGGCAGCAAGCTCCTTCACGATGTGGGCCGACACCAAGTTCCAATCTGGACCTGCTACTTACTGGCTGTGTGGGCTGGGCAATGTCATCCCCTAAGCCTCAGCTTTCTGGTCTGAAAAATGGGTACAATAACTCACCTAGAGGCAGGATCCTAGGGAGCAATGACAACCTAAGGAAACTGCTGAGCACCACCTCTGCATTGTCAGTGTTTGGTAAATGTCAGCTCTTACAAATGATTCATCCCCTGGGTGCATAAGGGGACAGAAGTAAGGAGCTCTGAGACAGGTTCTGCTACAGCTGCCCTTAGCTCCAGCCAAGCCTGAAGGAACACAGAAGACAAGGTCGCTGCCACTGTGGCACCTTCCACAGAGTTTACCCCCAAACTGGCTGTGACTCCTCACTGCCCAGGAAGCACCTCCACAGACCCACTTCACCCAAGCCTTCAACATCTCTGAAAAAGACCAAGGTGGGATAGATGTAGAAGACCCCAACCTATAGATGAGCTGGGATACACTTTGAGGTAGGACATTGTGGGGAGAGGGTTCTGTCTCTCTCTGTGTGTGTCCCTCTCCATTTATGTTACAGCAAGGAGCCACAGGGTAGTCAAGATGCATTCTAACTAAAGCCCGAAGTGTAGGTTCTCAGAGCCCAGCGTCACACAGCTGCCCGCCTCTAGCACACAAGGCATCAGCTGTCCACATGCAGGACTGGGGCTGGACAGACCTCTCCATAAAGCAAGCCACGAGTAGGCCTCCAAGGTTCTCATAGGACCAGGGAGAAGGAAAGAAGGAGCCCAACAATGACTATAAATAAAGGTCTTGCTCATCTCACAAGATAGCTGCTCATGATCACATTTCTGTTGGCTTTTTTTTTCAATGTAGAAATAGGAAATCTCTGGAAGACTGTATTTTGTGATTGCAGTTTCTTCCCACTACATGAACAGAGGGCAAATGAGATGGGAAATGGGAAACATCTATGGGACACATAGTAGAGGCATAAGAAGCACCCTTGTTTAGAATGAGACGCTTGGTTGATTAGGCAGACTATTGGCTCATCTGTGGCTCTCCTTTCCTTCCCATATAGACCACAGTCGTTTAAACTACTCTGAAGGACCCTTGTCCTCTACTGACGAACTGGATTGTCTCTAGAGTCCCTGTCCTAAGGAGATGATCTCAAAGTAGCATGTTCAAGGCCCCAGAAGAATGGGTTCCCAGGCACGTGATCATTAAACAGCTTTTTGTGCCTTGGTGCCAGGACCTCTCAGGTGGGTGTACCTGCAATTCGGTTGTGTAGAACAGATCCCCGTCACACCTGAGTCTGTCACACACTCACTTGATCTCCATCAAGTGGAAAGCGTCTCCTTCCCAGCCACCTGCATGGGTCTTGCTCCACACCTACTCCCACCAATCTGAAAGTTGGCTTTGTTTTTTCGGCAGAGGACTTCTCCCATTTCCAAGCCCAGCCACCCATTTACTCCATTTAATTTTCTATTTATTAATTTTCTATTTATGTTTGTGTTCAGAGGTCAAGAAGGATTCCCATGGATGAAGAAGGAGGAGGAGGAGGAGGAAGAGGGGAGATGGAGGGAGAGGAGGAAGGGTTCCCATGGCACCCAGGTGTGCCACATTCAGGGTCAGCTCCACTAAAATTTTGTCTATTCTGTCAACACCTTTGAACGCTTCCGAGGTACGAGGCATCAGGCACAGAAACATGGAGTGAGACAAAGGCCTGTTCCCAGCAACCTCACAGTCTAGAGTTGAAAACAAATTCCAGCATAGTGGAGCTAGTGCCAAGCACAGGTGTGGACCGAAGGGAACAGGAGCAAAGAACTGAGCCACCAGCTCTGGCAGGAAAGTGGGGAAAGGTTTGCCCGGATGGCTGCTGAAGGAGTGTGACCAGCCAGAGCCTATCCATGATCAGCCTGCCAGTGAAACACATTAACCTTTATGTTTATGGTCTCAACCTGTTTTAAATGCACTGGAGCATGACATCGAGTGGTTGTTAGGCTAATCCTCCAGAAGGTGGGTCAGGTTCCTCACTCTGCATCTGTGGGACTGGAGTGAGGTGGGGTACATTTTTAGGTCCCTTTGTCACCATAGTATTTGACCCACTGGGTTAAATAATCTCTAAGGTGACATCTGCCTGAAAACTACATGGTTATTATATTTAAGTGCCATCTTTTCTCCTTAATAGGAAAACTTGTACGAAGTTTCTTAAGAAAATAAAGCTCACCAAAGCCAACATGTGCAAATTTAGCTAAAGTAACAGACACAAGCCTAAAGGCTAACGAAAAGAAGTTGCTGGTGAGTGTGAGGCACGGCTGGCAGAATCGTGCAGGAACACAGCAAGATGAAACTGAAGCCATCTGCAACCACAGGGCAGAAAGTCGCTTGGACTCAGTATTTAAGGGTCCCCTTCTTGACCACAAACTTCAAGTTACAACTCACAGCTTCTCACGGCACCCTGCTGACAAGAACCGAGGACTATATAAATACATAATAAATATATATAAGTAAGATATATATAAATCTATAGATACAGATCAGCTATACGGAAGAAGGGAGTGTTCCCCGGGTGCTTAGGAGGACAGCGTTCGAACTGTCACCCCAACAGTGGGCTCCTTCTTCCTGAGGAGCCGCCCACTGCCTGACACCTAGAAGCGCGGATAATCTGCTACACAAAGCCTCTCAGATCGGGAATCACAAAAACTGTATGTACCCGAGAGCACAAATCATTGTGAAGGGAGGTAAATCATAATTCTAAGTACGTAGCCTCTTTTTACTTCAACGCCTCTCCCAATTCTGAGTCCGCTGTTTACAATCTCAGCTCATCTCTGTCAGTTGCCCCGGCGGCCCATTACAAGACCGGCAAAAGGGGAGGCGCAGCGCCATCTGGTGTCCATGTAGGGAAGAGCGGAGACCGCTGAGGAATTGCTACCAAGTAGGTAGGTATTAAAGGGGTTCGCTCGTCCCAGGAGACCTAAGGACACTTCCAAAGCAATTTTCTCTATTGGAAGGGGATACTTGTGAAATATATTTGTCACTGTATGAATTTCAGCAAATATTTTTATTCTATTTTTGTCCTATATTCTAAATAAAACTTTACCTAATTCTAGGAAAAAATAGATTTTAAATGTAAAACCTAGTTTATAATATTTTAATTTACTTATTCTACAGAACATTGCCTGCATGTGTAATGAAGTCTCTGGCCCTGATTATTATGCTTTACTTCGCATTCATTCTAGGTACCGTAAAATTAATGCCTTGCACAGAAGCTGATGAATGCACAAGTATAAAGGGAATTATTTTGTCCAGGGTAAACATACTAAAGCAATGTTATAAAAGAAACACCAATTCCAGTTATTTCAGTAGATATTTTAAACTAACATATTGCAATTTAAAAAAGAATTCAAAAGTAAGACTTGCTTTCCTTTTTAAAAAATGCTGAAAGTCTGCACTGAAATTACTGATTTTTTCTTAACTGGACTGTGTACTTCTGCTTTATACAATTTAACAGTCTATTTCCACAGCTGGCAGTGATCACTGGGTCACTTTGAACTACGAATGAATAAATACTGTTAAGGATGAGATGCTGGCTTTCTGGCTTGGCTGATTTGGAGCTTTTGTGTTTTGACCAGAAAAAAAGGTGCTGGACAGGTTGTCCGGGGCTGGCCCACATGTCCAGAAGTCTTACCTATGGTAACACCACCCTAGCCATAGGGACCTGGACAGAGGTGCCTAGAGGCAGCTTCCTGTGGCCACTTCCTCCTAACATTGATTCTGGTGGATATTTATTACCAAAGTTTCTACAGTAAGTCCCTGACTTATGAACACTGAGCTGACAGAATGGGGCAATCATTCCAAACATTTGTAATGCAAACAAATCACAGAAGTAGCTCACGTATCTGCAGAACATTGTCACGGTTGTGCTGCTGTGTGCTCACTGTACAATGTGATAGTGTATCGATAGTGTGATAGTACAGCACTCAATCAGATCCCCGGATGTCCACTGGGAAGAGAAAAAGCAGTGGTGATGTGGAGGGGACTGCTAGGAAACACAAAGCAATATACATTGTATATTTGTGTCAAAGGTGTGTAAGACTCACTTTGTTAGACTTACTAATGAATCCAACTCACAAATATTATCCTGGGATGGAACTCATTCCTATGTCAGGGACTTACTGTATTCTTACAACTTGAGGAGTGACAGGGAGAGGTAAATTATACTTATTTTTTATTACAAATATTCTCCCAAATATTGGGAGAGAACAAGATATCAGAAATACTATCTTCAGGGGCTGGGGATTTAGCTCAGGGGCTGGGGATTTAGCTCAGTGGTTCTGCTGCCTGCCTCGCAACCACAAGGTGCCGAGTTTGATCCCCAGTACCAAAAACAAAAAGAAATACTATCTTCATGAAATGCACTGTAGGTTGAGCCATAAGAAATTGCTGCTAGTTGACTACTTTTTACCTAAACTAAAGCAACTTTATATACTTCACCTTAATACTTAGGTAACTCAAGAATAGGTACACTGATATGACTGTGACTTGGGTGTGATATCACCTAAAAAGTGAAATTTTTTTGAGACAAGGTTTCCCTTTGTAGTTCAGGCTGCCCCTGAACTCAGTGTGTAGCCCAGGCTAACCTCTAATTTGCAGCAATCCTCCCTCCTCAGCCTCCTGAGTACTGGGGTTACAGGTGTGCACCACTATGTCGGATAAAAAGTCAATTTTTAACTGCATAGAAGTTTGTCTATAAAGGGGCATGTTTAAGAGAAGTCAATTTGGAGAAATTTTTTAGCTTCATACGTGAATTTTTTAAAGTAGCACCTTCACTTAGAATGAACTGACACAGATGAGTTTCCAAAAGCTCATTTAGTTATTGTGTCAGTCAGCTTTCCATCACTGTGGCAAAATACCTGTGATGATCAACATAAAAGGTGGAGCGGTTTGTTTTGACTCACAGTTTCAGAGGTCTCAGTCCATGGTTTTTGAGGCCCATTCACCTCATGGCAGCCAGGAAGCACAGACGGAAGGAGGGAATGTCAGGATCCCAGTGTTTCCTTCAAGGGCTCTCAATGACCTAAGTTCCCGCATGAAGCCCCACCCCTAAAGGTTCCACTACCTCCACTTAGTGCAACAGGGCCTTTGGGGACATTTATCCAAACCATTTAACCAGCAGTTACAAAACGGTTTTTAGTTCTCCATCTTTTCTTGCTAGTTAGCTCTCTGTAAAACTTCTCTTGACAGAGAGAGATAAGAGCTACTTATAAACTTAGTGTTTTTATACATCAGTAGACAGGCTATGTTGCAAAAAGTCTAGGGTTTTTTTCCACAGCTCCACTTTTTAAGTAAGCAAGCACCTCCTCAGAGAAAGAGCTTCTAAAAAGGACTGAAGGAGTTGGGAGGTAGCTCCATAGTAGAGTGCTTGCCTAGCATGCACAAGGCCCAGAGTTCAATCTCTAGTACAGAAAAAATAGCAGTTAGGTGCCCAGCTCAAGTCACGCACAGCTCAGGTGCTCTGTGACAGTATTTTACATACCTGAATTATAAGCCCAGAAAGCAGGAAACCAGAAAAGATAAAAAACGCACAGTGTGGTATTTCATGCTCATGATATCATTTGCAGGGTCCTAGTAAACTAGGCCATCTTTAAGTATTGAAATGCATATTTAGTTCTGAATAATATTGTTATGTGAGCATTTGAAAAAAATCTCAAAATCTGACTCTTCTACATATTCAAACTGAATGAGTCAATTTTTAATTTATGCACAAAACAAAATTTGTTCATTTTTTTTTTTACATGGAAACAGGACCACACTCACAAAGACTGGAAAAAGTAGCCGGATGTGCTATTGCACAGCTTCCTGAAAGTGTCTCAGTCAGCGAAAGACAAAGACAAACCAGAAATGCTTTCTCCAAAACAAAATAGCACAGCTTACCATAATAAAAAGATTGTTACTCTGAGAAATAAAAAGTACAAAAAAATTTCAAAAACTACTCTTCGAAGCCATGGGGTTATTTGAAGATAAAAGAATCAAAAGAAAACATCGGGAGTTAGCTTAGAGCTTGCTCCTCAGCACCCAGCATGTACAGAGTGTATGAGAGTGTTGTCAGTGGCTGGAAATTTTGTACGAAAATACTCTTGTAACTGATTGATTTTGCCACTGACTCCTCCCCTTTTAAAGTTGATAGTTCTTTCTAATCCTTTTATTTTACTATTTTAATTGTATGTATTTGTGGATTGCAGTGTGATAATTTACAAGTACAATGTATAATGACCAAATCCAGGTCACTAGCATTTCCATCTCTTTAAACATTCATTATTTTTTATGTTGGAAAGCCTCAAACTTTTCTCTTCTCGTTCTTTATAAAATATGCAAGAAACTGCTGTGAACTATAGTAACCTTGATGTGATACAGAGCACTAAAACTTACCCCTCTTTCTAACTGTATTTTGGCACCTATGATTGGTTCCCCCTTTATTGCCTCTCTCCACTACCTGTCCTAGACTCTAGTAACTACTAGTTCACTCTCTACTTCTATGAAATCAACATTTTTTAGCTTCCATGTATGAATAAAAACATGCAGGGTTGTTTTTCTAAGCCTGGATTCTTTCACTTAAAGTCCTCCAGTGTCACTCATGTTGCCACAAATGACAAGGCTTTATTCCTTTTCATGGTTGAATAATATTCCATTGCATATATGTACTATACTTTTTTAACCCATTCATCTGCAAGTGGACAACTAGGTTGATTCCATATCTTGGCTATTAAAGTTGGTCCTCCTAAAAGAACTGTAAATTAGATCAGATGTTTGATTTTACCTTTTATGATTAATGTGTCTTCATTTTATGAGAAGGTCTTTTGAGTAAGACATTATTTTAAATATTTCACTTGTTAAGAAATGGGAAAATCAAATGACTAGACACTTTACAGGAGAAGAAGTGTAAACGGGCAATAAATACATGAAGAAATGTTCAGCATCACTGGCCATTAAGGAAATGCCAAATAAAGCAACACTTGAGATTCTATCTCATTCCAGAAAGAATGGCCATTATCAGGAAAGCAAATAATACAAATGTTGGTGAGGCTTCATGGAGAAAGGAAGCCTTTTACATTGCTGGTGGGAATGTAAATTAGTACAAACATTATGGAAATCAGCATGGAGATTCCTCAAAAAAGTAAAACTAGAAATTTCATTTTACCCAGTTATTCCTCTTCTAGGTATCTTTCCAAAAGAGTTAAAGACATCCTATTACAGTGATACATGCATATCTATAGCCACACAACTCATAACAACGAAATCATTGAAGCAGACTATATGTCCATCAACAGATGAATAAATATATTTATACACAGTGGAGTACTACGCTACCATAGAGAAGGATAAATTTGAGTCATTTGCAGGAAAATGGATGCACTTTGAGGCCATAATACTAAGTGAATTACACCAGACACACAAGCTTAAATATAGCATGTTTTCTCTAAAACGAAAAACCCAAAGTATAAATAACAAGATAAAAATAGATAATAGGAAATGAGGAGATGGATCTTTCTCAAATGGAAGGGAGTCAAGAGATGGAGGGAGGGGAAGGAAGTGGAGGAGGGAAGAGTCGGGATGAACAAAGGAGTGGGGATGTGCTGTGTGCATGTACCAACGTCACACGGGAGTGTGAGCACTGTGTACTGCAAACATGGACTAGGAAAAAGAAGGTGTCCATGTGTACTCCATATTTATTTTCATACATTTATATATTACTTGACGTTTCTAAGTTTATCATTTTTACTGAATTTTTTTAGGACTCCTAAAAATTTTATTTTAAATAGGGTTCATAGTTAATATGGGAGTTTTGGCGTTAATTTCACTTAAAATCAAAATAAAGACTTACATGCCAGTCATGTGCTTTTCTTCCGCCACATGACGGTGTCTAGCGGTGCTCAGACTGACAAGGTGTTGAGGAGGGATGAGCAAGGGACCAGGGCCCCGGGGACCTGAATCCAGGCTCAGGGGGACCTTCCAAAGCCTTAGACAGCAAGCGATCATCTCTCACCAATACGCAATTAAAAATAAAAACAATCTCAATCCATAAACTACATTGAATAGAGGCCTCACTTTTCCATAATGAGCAATAAATAGTTTCCGTGAAATATTTCATTTTTCCCAAAAACAATCTTCAAAAACTTCTGGAGCTCCTGACTGGGCATTCCTGCTCACCACATGCTGCATCCGTCACCAGGAGCCCAGTCCCTGCTGCCCTTGGGCCTCCCAGCTCTGCTCTGGCCCCCACAGCAGACCTCAGAGGCCTTTTTCTTTTTCTTCAACAGAGGAATTTGAGCTGAGGGCATGCAGCCTCCCATCCAGCTCTAAAGAATTCCTCCCTGCTGGAATCAGAGAACATCATGTTGGGCACCATAAGCCAGACTCAGAAAAACAAACATCCCGTGTTCTTTCTAACATGTGGAATCTAAGAAAGCTGACACAAAAGTAGAAGGGAGGCTGCTGTTAGACCAGAAGAAAAGAAAAAGGGAGAAGAAACCGATGTGTACGCAAGGGGAAGGGGGGCATGGATATGATTACAATAAATTATATGTGTTAGGGCCGGGGATGTAGCTCAGTGATGGTGCCACCTGTCTCACAAGCGCAAGGTCCTGAGTTCAATCCTTGGTACCAAAAATAATAAAAAAATAAAATAAATAGATAAATAAATAAATAAATAATATGTGTTGAAACCTAATGCTTTGTAAAATGGATAGGCAATTAAGGAAAAATAAAAATTAAAAAGGACAGCATTCTAATAATAAATAAACAAATGTTTTTTCAAAAAGAATTCCTCCCTGCTTGGTCACTAGGTCCTGGGCAATGTTTAAAAGGACCTCTGAATCCTCCCACCTTCCTGTAAGAAAGAAGCTGGTAAACTAACCTACAGGACTAGTGGAATGAAGGACAGAAGCTTAACCCTTCTACATTAAAATAACATTGTACAACAATAGCATTTGTATTTAATAATATTAAGTATGAGTCCCTCAGCAAGGAGATTTCAGGCACTTTGAAGGTTGACTTTGCCTCAGGCATGCTTGCTGTGGCCAGGGGCCTCAGGGAAGCTCAGACAAAATGCCAGGCCCAGTTCAACCCCACAAGTAAGCACAGTGACCCGGCCAGGCCATGGAGACATGACCTTGAGTGCCCTTGCCAGGAGTACAGCCTGGTTACAGCTTCCACATTTCAAACACACATACCCATCAACAGGATAACTTTCCTGGAGCAATTTGTCCTACAAATACACTAAGAAAAAGGCAAAACATGAATGGGTAGAAAGACCAGTTACTTGTTAGACTCGTGAGATACTAACTTTTACCCTGAAACTCTACTCCAATATCCTAAAGAGGAATCTCCACATGTTACAGTTTACTAAAGTCTCAAAAGTCATGAACACATCAAATTTTGCATGGACCCTTTAGGCACAAAATATTTAAAATACAAAAAAACCCAAAAAATTCTTCAGACTGAGCAAGCCAAGTAGGAGTCTCTTCCTCTCATCCTACATTCATCCCACATTGAATTCATTGGGCAATCTATCATCCAACCCAGCTCTATGCCCAAAATATGTCAGGAATCTGATCACTTATTATCTTCACTTCTGTAAACCTGTGTAAGTGCATGAACATACGTGTGTGTATGTATGTGTATGTGTGTGATGCTAGGGCTGCAGCCCAGGGCTTCATGAATGCTGACACAAATGCTCACTCTACCTGGCTGTCTGACAATGGTCTCTTAACCCACCCCACACACTAGTTCATTCCCAACACAACAAGCTGAGGCATCCAGATAAAACATGAATAAAATCCCCTCGGTCTTCTGCTTAAAATTGTGCAAGAATTCTCCCTTTTAGAGAAAAGAAAAATCACAGAGTTTATTACGTCACACTGCCAGATGGAGGCCTTTCTTGACCCCCTGATGCAAAACAGCAACCCCAACCACACTCTCCCTTAACCTTGCTTTGTTTTCTCCACACTGTGTATCACTGCCGAGCCTGCTCTGTACTTAGTACATATGTCATATCCTCACCATGGATGGAATTGTGTCCCCCACCTTCCAATCCAGTGGTAAATACACAGGGTAAACAGGGCTTGGGGGAAGTAATGAGGTTTAGATGAAATCATGAGGATGACTCCCCTGTGATGGAGTTGGCATTGTATAAGAAAACGCATCCCCAAGCCCACTGTATGGGACATGTCCTCCTGAAAGTCAGGAAGGAAGCCTGTACCAGGCATGGAATCAGCCTGCACCTTGATCTTGGCCTTCTCAGCCTCAAGAATTGAAAAACATGAACTTCATTTATGTGAGCCACCCAATCTGTGACATTTTATGATGGCAGTTGTAGGACAGGACTAGGACAACCCAGCACTCCCAGCTAGATCATAAAATCAACTTGAGACCAGAATTTGTCTTGTTCACCCCCGCCCTGGCTGCTCCTCAACACAACACATTTGCACAGTCAGTGCACGATGGGTTACATGAGTTGTCCAGTGGCTCAGCTGGAACATGGCAGTGTGAACCAGCTCCAGTGCTAGCTGATAACAACAGAGCAAAACTTAACTTTTAAGGTTAAACAACTGTGTGAATCTCATTCGCAAGTGGCAAGATAAGCAACCCATCTTGAAACAACATTCAGAAAATGCAAATAGAGACACAACTTTTCCAGTTTTCTGGTATTTTGTCCTTGGCGGACATCTGTACCTCCACAGACTTTGTCTGGTAAACAGCCTTTGGAGATCCAGAAAGCACAGCATTAAACTGCACTACACATCCTAGACACAGAAATGTGTTTATTTCTCAAAAGCTACAGCACAGCTAGCTCTCCAGGATGGGCCAACCAATACCCTGGAGGTCTTGACTTGAAAACCAAAGCATTGTTTCCTTAATTTTCCACAGGGAGTGCAGGCTGTTACAGAGACCTAATCCACAATGTATGTTATCTTCTGACAGTAACTCATCTGGTCCTACTCAAACAGAAACCTCTAAATCACTCAGCTGTGTTTCCTGGTGTCTGCTGAAAACAAGATTCTTTTCAAAGCAGTAAGTAGTAACCATTGCTGAAAATCAAAGCCAAATAGGCCAGAAATGAGAAGCAGCTTGTACATTCTGGGTTTGGGCTCACCACAGCCAATTACTCTGACAGGGACAATCTTGGTGTCTTTATTTGGCCGCTGGAGAGAGCCTATTTACTAAAAGGGAAATGAATTGATGTTTTCTCTCGGTGTAATTGAAGAGAAGCCTCTTGGATCACAAATTCATCCAGTAATGACTTTAAGATTCCTCTGAGAGAGGGTCCACATAATTCCCTTTGTATGTGTTTTCCAAAAAGACACACGTCTCCTATCTGGTGTTCTCAAAACCACAAATGTACACCATCGATTTTCTCAGTCTACAGTGTGTTGATCTTCAGCCCATAGTGTAGGAAACAATAACTGAATATAGAAAATATTGATCTGCAACCATTGATTCAAGGCCCTGGGGTGTCAAAAGATTAGTTACTTTTAAGAGAAGTACTGAAGGTGACTTTCAACTACTTTTTATTGACTAACACAGATCAGATAAACCCTTCTGCTCAAAGTCACAGACTTTTCTTCGGGAGCCATAGT